TGACACCACTTTAATTGCCACAGCTCAATGCTATGGAATTTTAGGAATGATAGTTTGTTGTGAAAGGTTTTCCCATTCTTCATCTTCTATATGTTTCTTCTTTGAGCAGTTCTGTGTGGACAAACCTATTTCCTTCCATCCCTTTTAACCTTGATTTCAAATACAAGAAGGCAAAGAAACCCAAAGTATTTAACAGCAGGAGCTATCAAAAAGAATCAAGCCAAGCCACATGAAGACTTATCTAACAAGAAAATGCTACAACTGTCAATAAAAATGTCAATACCTAATGGGCGGAAAAAGTGGAACAATGTAACTGATCGAGATAACATAAAATCCATAACCATTTCTTTCCAAGAATAGATTGCCTCTTTCTGGGACTGGGGTATAATGAGACCACTAAGGTTGTTTTTCACATGCAAGGATCTTCTTTCAATTAGTTGGTTATATAAAGGTGAAATATATATTTAGGGGTGTAGGGAATGTTTGCAAATTTTCTCATCCTCGGTGAAAAAAGGTGAAAAAGCACACTGAAACACCCCATTAAAAAATTCATCAAAATTGTTCACACCAGAACAAGATGGGGGAAGTATCAGCTCTTCCTTTTTCATTAAAGTCTCCACAAGTTGTGCAAGAAGCATAACTGAGCAAAACTAGTCTCTCCAGCACCATGCTACTTTTTTTTATGGAAAACACATATATATGCAGCAAGCACAGGACAGAAATACTGATGAAAAAGAAACAAACAGGTCATCCAATGCTGCTTCTTTTTTTTTAAAAAAAAAAAAAAGTAATATTATTTTATTGCAAAATTTCAATAAAATAATAATTTATTTTGCAGTATTTTGCAAAATAAAACTGTATTTTCTTCAAAATGATCACTTTTGGACAAAAACCCTTGTAGTTAATGCAAAAATCTTTAGCACAATTTATGCAAAAAAAATTTCCCCAGAAAAAAATTCTGTGAAATCTCAGCCAGCTGGGAGAAAAACTAGAAATTTCAAAACGTTTGATTATTTTCCCCCCAACAACATAAGTGTCAATTGGTACGCTTACTTATAATGGAAAGGTCATCCACATTAACAAATGTCTGCATGCAACTTCATATGGAAAATGCATATAAGTGTATGTGTATGTGTTTGCATGTGTACCCACACCATTGTGTATGCTTTATTCAGTTATCGGAAAACTATTAAAATTTGAAATGTGCTGTTGGAGGAGTGTTCTACATAAACCATGGACTGACAAAAAGACCAATATTGGGTCTTAGAGCAAATCAAGCCTAAACTCTCTGTAGAAGCAAAACTGATCAAACTGAAGTCATTGTACTTTTGCCATATCATCTTCAAAAAGGGGGGGAAAGAGGATCTCAAGAATTATCATCTGGTTAGTCTGCCATCAATACCAGGAAAGATTCTAGAGCAGATAATTAAACAAAGAGTTTGTGAACATTTAGAAAGCCATTATCACAAAAAGTCAACATGGGTTTCTGAGAAACAAGTCATGCCAGATTAATCTGATCTCTCTCTCTCTTTTTTTAAAAAAATAAAATTACCAGTTTGGTAGACAAAGGGAATGCTGTAGATATAGCATATCTCAATTTCAGTAAAGCATTTGATAGGGTTTCCCATGACATTCTTGCAAACAAGCTTGTAAACTGTGGTCTAGACAAGGCAGCTATTACATGATTTGTAACTGGTTGACTGGCTGAACCCAAAGCGTGCTCATCAATGGCTCCTGGAAAGAAGTGATGAGTGGGGGGCCCAGTGCTATTCAATATCTTTATCAATGACTTGGATGAAGGAATAGAAGACACACTTATCAAATTTGCAAATTACACTGAATTAGGAGGAATAGCTAATACCCTAGAGGACAGGATCAAAATTCAAGAAGGCCTGAATAGATTAGAAAGCTGGACCAAAGCTAACAAAATGAATTTCTACACAGAGAAATGTAAGGTACTGCACTTAGGGTGGAAAAATGAAATGCATTTATATAGCATGAGGGACACCTGACTTAACAAAACTACTTGTGAAAGGGATCTAGGAGTCCTAATAGTCCCATCACTGTGAAGCTAAAAAGGCCAATGCAATTTTAGGCTGCCTCAAGGGCAGTAATAGTGCCACTCTATTTTGCTTTGGTCAGGCCCCACCTGGAATACTGTGTCCAGTTCTGGCACCACAATTCAAAAAATAGGTTGACAAATTGGAGCATGTCCAGAGGAGGGTGACTAAAGTGGTGAAGGGTCTGGAAACCATGCCTTATGAGGAAATACTTAGGGAGCTGGGTATGTTTAGCCTGGAGAAGAGACGATTAAGAGGGGATACAAAAACCCTGTTTAAGTATTTGAAGGAATGTCACATTAAGGTGAAACTTTGTTTTCTGGTGCTCCAGAGACTAGAACATGGAACAAGTGTGGATGCAAGCTTCAGGAAAAGAGATTCCATCTGAACATTAGGAGGAACTTCCTGACAGTAAGAGCTGTTTGACAGTGAAACACACTCCCTCAGAGTGTGCTGGAGTCTCCTTCCTTGGAGGTCTTTAAACAGAGGCTGGATAGCCAACTGTTGAGGGTGCTTTTATTGTGATTTTCTACATGGCAGGGGGTGGGACTGGATTACCCTTGTGGTCTCTTCCAAATGATTCTATGATCTTATGAATCTATGAGACAACTACTAATTATAAAAGACTAATGCTTGGTAAAGTGGCAGGTAGTAGGAAAAAAGGAAGATGGTATTATCAGGGGTGGTTTTACCAGTTTCTTCCTCTGAAATATAGCCTATAGCATATGGTATTCATTGGTCTCCCATCCAAGGCTCACTCTGCTTAGCTTAGAAGAATAGATTGGGTCTGGTGCCTAACACAAAGGCAATGTCTAGAGAGAAAAACCAGACCCCTCAAAAAGTTGAGCAGGTAACTATTGGGTGCATGTCTTTTGTTTTGTTTTGTTTTATACACACATGAATACTTATACCTGCATGGTTCTTCCAAACTGAGCTAAAGAAGGATGAGTTCTCACAGCATAGATACCTGGGTTTTATTGGTTATTGCCACCTCCGTGTCCATTCATTACATTCTTTTGGGGGGTCTCTTTGTAGCAAATTTTTGAATTTGCACAAGGACTCTTCCAATTTTCTTTAAACCAGGGTGTGGTTTGCTGAAATGGTCCTAAGATCTGAATTTTTGTTTTTAATCTTAAGAGCCTTATAGTAGGAAAGCACCATTTCACGGATGCACTGTAGCATTCTAACTCCAAAGAAAGAAAGAAAGAAAGAAAGAAGATAATTAAACATTTAAAAGAAACTCCCTCAAGGGTGGGAATAAAATGTTTCACCTACTGCTCAGAATTGCCAGAACAGCCCTGGGAAAACATTGCTTGGGTGGTGGTGTTTTTTGTTTGTTTTTTTAAAAAAAACACCCTATAAACCAAAGCAACAAGTGCTGCAACCTCCTGGTTCATTTGCTCAATCTAGAAGAGCTCAATGACAGCTCAGGAACAACTGGATTTTGGCAGTTTCTTATGAGGAACAGTGGTAGGCTGGGGGCTAATCAATACGGCTGAAACCACACGTCAAAGACTGTGTGCATGATTGTAATTACAGTTAAATGGCTGTGAGTATGTCATAAATTATAGTGAAATTGCAATTAATGGAGCTGATCTTTCTTTTAAAAAGAATCCTGACTCTAGATTAAGAATGAAATATTAAGCGGTCCTAAATTCTCTAAAGGAACCAGATCCCATCTTATGTTGGAAGCTAAGCAGTGTCAGCCCTAGTTAGTGATTGGATAAGAGGCTGCCAGTGAATACCAGGCACTGTAGGCTGTATTTCAGAGGAAGAAATTGGCAAAACTACCTCTGAGTATTACTTGCCTAAGAAAATCCTGTGAAATTCATGAAGTTGCCATAAGTAAACAAGTGACTCAAAGGGACATATACACATGCAACATAATGAGAGCTCCCACTCAGTTAAGCTGAGGAAATTTTTAATAAAGCTTTGATTAGACGGGGATGGTATTATATTACTTCTCCAAGAGCAGAAGCTCCATGTGCTCTGAAATGGTCAACTGTTTATTCCATTTTAAAAGATCCCAACATGTTTCGGACTGTATGAGAAAAGTTGTTCTTCAGGGGTTAATAATAAACAAATACAAATATATTATAGGTATTTAAAAAACAAGACAACACATTCCATAAAGCCACATAGGAACACACTATTTTATATATCAGAAGCATACATACCCTTCAGCAGAAGAACCAGCAAAATCCCTACTAGTAAATGCTTTCTATACCATTTGTAAAACTTGGTTCCTATCTACATGAGGAATCATATGTACAAAAGCTGCTATGTGCACAATTGTAAACTTCCTGAATGTAGCCCTAGTTAAATGCTGCAAAGCAAAGGCAGCTATAGGGAAGGAAGATCACACTAATATTACACTGGCCTTATAAAGCAACCACATGCACTCTGCCAGTACTTCCATGCACCAAAACCAAATACATTTGCGAGATATGATCTATCAGCCACACAAAGCACATCTCTATCGGACACACAGAGGAAAGTCAGTTTAAGCCAGGATCAAATACAAAATCATAATACAAAAAGAGTCCTACAGGATTAGACCAAATTTTATCCAGTACCAATAGCTTGAGGAAGCTCATAAATACAGCATGCTGGTGACTGCCTTTCCCCCTCTACAAATGACTTTCAGTGACATACTGCAACCATGGCAAATACCTCTGCATCAACAAATCTCTCCTGGCTTAATTGGACTAATGTTCTTTTAATGTCATATAACTCTGTGGCCATCACCACATCTTGTGGGTGTGTATTCTGTATGCTAATGACACACACTTTCTTTTGCCTGCCCATCTGTTTCATTGGATGATGCTAAGTCTTAATATTGTGAATCAAGAGGAGTAATGACTTTTCTCTGTGCATGATCGCTCCATGGTGCGTAATGTCAGAACCTTATATTATGCCTCTCTCCCCTCATGTAAGAGAGCTAGCATGGTGTAGTGGTTTGAATATTAGATTAGGACTCTGGAAGACCAGGGTTTGAATCTCTATTCAACCATGGAAATCCCACTGTGTGAACTTGAACAACAATACCTAATTCTTGTAGGAAATATTGGTATTTATATTAAGCATAGTGAAGCATGCCCCAGTGCAACATGAGCTTCTGATATGAAACAGGGCAGAAATATGCAGGGTGTTCTGGTAGGGTTAAAAAGTAAAATATTGTTGCTGATTTTCATATGTGGATGTAAGAGCCATCCTGAGGCCTCATGGGTGCTTCCATCTCAGACAAAGGGTTGTGAAACACTAATTTTTTTTGGAGAGAAGGGGGAAGTGACCAATGTAGGTAGGAAGAGAAAAGGGCTTGAGTTACATAGATCAAGAAACAGAAGTGAAAGCAGGCATATATTTCAGAATTTCCCCCACCCCTAAATTCTAAAAGCAAGCATTGATGCCTCTTCGCTTCCAACAATCCTTTCTATCATCTGAAGGAAGCCATAGAAGAAAGCAATGACAAACATCCTCTGAATCAATCCTGCCAAGAAAATCCTAGAATAGGGTCATTATATGTCTCATAGAGCAATAACAACTCCTTATTTAAAAGAACCCCAAAGCTTTAGTCCTTCTGTAGGATGGGAGCTCCATCCCTTTGATCATTTTGGCTAACCTTTTCTATACATTATACAGCTCCATATTATTTGCAAGCAATGTGCCTTATATACTGTCCAGATGGCTTTCATACCCAAGCCATTCTCCCCTGAAGCTAGCATTGATGGAATGTTCCAATATATTTCATTCTGTTTGGTAGCAACCTTTCTCTCATGGCACTGCCACAATGAAAAAGTCATTGGGTTTTCCATGCTAGCTATTCATAAATATCGAATTGGGTTGCTCACAGTCATGTATAGTCAACTGGTGGGCTGGGGGATGGGGACATTAGTACTGGAGAGCTGTAATTCCAAAATTGGCATCATTGCAGCTTCTGCCCTCTTTATGACTGGAATAAAATAAACGCATAAAATATCATGCACAGCTGTAGGTAGAAAAAAAAAGCAGAGTGAAATTTCAGTTTTATGCTGACTTGATTCACAGCCATCACCTGTATATACTTCATCTGTTTAAACATTTGTCTTTAAATACTCTCTCTTTCTCACACATATATTGAAGCAAACTGCAATGTACTAAACTAAAAAAATTTATATAATTTTTAAACTTGGAAGGAATTCTTAAACTTGAGCAAAATGGAAAATTTTACAGCATATTCTTTCTCTTGTATGCAAAATTATCCATTATATATCCAGTTTTGCAGTTAATCTAATGCAGAAATTTGTCTCATTCCACAGACCCTTGCGTGTTGCAGCACATTGCATTTTTTCCCAAATAGATGGGCAGCACTGTCAGTGTTGTTGTTAATTGTTATTAATTGCCATCAGATTGACTTCAAGTTGACTACAATCTCCATTCTAAGCCAGGATGTTAGCATATGTGATTTTCCATAAAATTTTGGACACATGTGGAGTTCCCTCTATGACCCCAGATTGACTTCTGTGGGATGTTGACAATAATCCCCTAGATGGTAGGTCATGGAGGCACTGAGAGATCTGCCCAGGACAGCTGGAAAATTCCCTACCAGACAGGTTTGGGAGTTACCAAAGGGAAAAACTATTATACTGGAAAAGACACATAATGGTGCTTATTTGTCTTGAATCTCACATTTAATGGGGCAGTGATCAGATTTGACTGCACCCTTTTCTCTAGCTTCCCTTCCTTGAGAGTCTCGAAACCAAATGCATTGTTTAGACTATTCTCACACCTAGGTTTAACAAAGCTAAAACTATCAACACCTTTGTCCAGGCTTCAGCCAAGCCGTTTAGTCAATAGCCAGAAGGTAGAAATTTCCTATTTAAACCCTGAGATTTTTAGGCTCCACATGCTATCTTTGGAATGCAGCTTGGCTCCACATCAGTCTGTGCTCTGATCATAGCTCCCTCAGCCATCCTTTGCCCCTGTTTCGGTGGCTGTGCATCATCAGCAGCATTATCATCAGCATCCAAGCCATTCCCGCCTTCACTCCTTTATTTCTAAGTGTGTAGAGAGTGTGAGTGCCATATTGGTGTGTGTGCAGCTTTTCCCCTTTAATAAATATTTAGACTTTAATTGAAGAAGCTTGCCTCAGTGTCATCCATTGTGGGATTCCTTAGTCCTCTGGTATACATATCAGTACCCGGTCCCACAGGGCTTTGTTAGGACCGCACTCTTGCATATTTGAGCTAATTATAAATTCCCCTAATTAGATCCTTCCTAACAAAGGTTTGGAAATCTTTATTTGAATGTCTTCATCATCTACTTGAATGTTGTGTAAATCATCTGTTGCCATTTTTTTAAATAGTCGACTATAAACTTACCTTTGCACTTTCTTTCTTGACTTTCTTCAATACTCTTTCCAAATCTTTGCTATTTTCTGCTAGTAGTATGGAGTCATCTGTATATCTTAAACTGTTGATGTTCCTTCATTTTTCACACCTCTTTCTTCAGGGTCTATTCATATGTATGATGCATTCAGTATATAGGTTAAACAGATAGGGTAATAAAATGCAACCTTGTCTGACTCTCTTGCCAACTAGAAATCATTCTCTTTCACCACTCTGTCCTGATGGTGGCCTCTTGTCCTGAGTACTTCTTGTTAGGTACACTCATTCCTTTAAAAGCAATCCATAGTTTTTCATGATCATGATGTAGGAAAACAGTTTTACCTATTATGAAGGATGATAATCCAGAGGTGCTGAGAAGCAGTTCGACATACCAGGATGTTGTCATAGTCAAGTCTAAAAACACAGATCCTATTTGGCAAGAGACAGCAACATCACTCCAAATGCTGGGTATTGCTTTCTGACCAGACACAGCATTTTTATGTGTTGCAGAATGTGAGACATAGTATTGTATCTGGCAAACAAAGTAATTAGTATTTTAAAGCAGAAGGCAAGCAACAACCAGTCCCATTCCACCCACACCTCCACACAGGCTCTAGCAGAGAAATAAAGCAAGTTAAGCCTTCTTTGTAAAAAAAAAAAAAGTTCTGTCAGAGTTTTACTTACAAATAGATCAGGATGAATCGTTAACATACTGCAGCTGATCTTCTTTCTGAATGTAATAAACCATTCAGACCTGTGCATTTTGACACGACAATAAGTCCCTCTTAAGCCCAACAGGATTTATGTCCTTGTACATGTGATAGAATTGCAGCTAGTCTCATGTCAATTTGGAATAAAATGTCAGTGATTCAACAGAAGCATCTCAAAGTCCAGGTTTAAAAACCACAAATCTATCCAGTGCTCTGGTTTCAGTTTTCAACCTTCAGCTGAAGATGCAGCAGCAAATGTGAAAATCATGATAATCATGGGAGCTGAAAAGGCATACTGCAGTGCAGTATTTCCCATCTTAAGAACAGAGAACATCACAGTCAGTGTTGTGATTCCAGTAGAATAAAATATTAGGGGTTGTTGTTTTTTTTTTTCAGAGATCCTTGTGCACAGAAAAGCAGGGGAAAAGAAATACAACCTATAATATGTAATTTGGCCCCAGTTAAGGATGGACCAGAATTGCATTTCTGTATGTTTGTGAAAGTAAATGATAAGAACTTGTTGAAATTGCAAATTTCTTCATAAATGGGATGGGATGTACTTAAAATTAAGAATGTCAAACTGCCATCCTCCCAAATAGATAAATGTATCAGACCAATCATAAAGTTTTGCCTGCTTACCTCCTAAAATCTGTGTTTGAATCTCTGTTAATTCAGGGCCTAAGCAGACTGCCAGAAATAGTGCACATTAAATTGAGGCACTGCCCTGGCTCAGTGCTAGGGAATGATGGGAACTGTAATTTATTGTGGCACCAGAGCTCTCTGACAGAGAAGGCTCAATGTCTCAGAAAAAAATGCAATTCTCATGATTCCCTAGCACTGAGCCAGGGCAGTGCATCAATTTAATGTGCATTATTTCTGGCACTCTGCTTAGGCCTTCAGTCATGTTTGTGGCACTAAATTTTGGTCAAAGCAAAACCAGTCTCAAAGTACCTGCAATGTTTTGTTGAATCCACTGTGTCTCAAAATGTAACATTTCTTCATTCCTCCCATAAATATTGCTTCTTCTTTCACCCTTGCTGTGATTGAGAAAGAAGTTGCTGTAGATGATTTGGGGTTTCTTGG